GATGAATGTTAGATGCAAAAATCCTCAACAAAATATTAGCAAACTAAATTTTACAATACATTAAAAGGATCATACACCATGATCAAGTGGGATTTGTTCCAGAGATGCAAAGGTGGTTCAAAACCTCCAACAGTACAAGATAGTGCGTTAGCAAAATGAAGGATAAAAATCTTAACATCTCAATAGATAACAGTAAAAGCAGTGAGTAAAACTCAATCTCCACTTATCATAAAAACACTCAACAAAGTGGTTATGGAGGGAACATACCTCATCATAACAAAGGTCATATCTGACAATCTCACAGTGAACATGATGCTCAATGGTGAAAACCTAAAAGCTTTTCCTCTAAGTCCAGGAATAAAATAAGGACACCCACTCTCACCACTTTTCTTCAACATTGTATTGGAAATCCTAGCCAGAGAAATTAGGAGAAAGAAGGAAAAGGCAACCAAATTAGGAAAGGAAAAAGTAAAACTGTCACTATTTGTGTATGACATGATATTATAAACCCTAAAGACTCCCTCAAACAACTGTTATAACTAATAAACAAATTTAGTAAAATTGCAGGATACAAAATCAATGTACAAAAAATCGATTGCATTTCTATACACAAACTATCAGAAAGAAATTAAGAACACAATCCCATTTCACAACTGCATAAAAGACAATAAAATATCTAGGGCTAGATTTAACCAAGGAGGTGAAAGTCCTCTACAGTGAAAACTATAGGACACTGATGAAAGGAATTGAAGAAGACACAAATAAATGGAAAGATATTCAATGCTCATGAGTTGAAAGAATTAATATTAAATTGTACATACTACCCAAAGCAATCTACAGATTCAGTGCAATCCCTAATAAAATTCCAATGGCATTTTTCATAGAATAAGTAATCCCAAATTTTATATGGAATCACAAAAAACCTTAAATATCCAAAGCAATATGGAGAAAGAAGAACAAAGCTGGAAGCATCTCACTTTCTGATTTCAAACTGTGTTATGAAGCTATAACAATCAAAACAGTATGGCACTGGCGTAAACAGACACATAAGCCAATAGAACGGAATAGAGTCCAGAAATAAACACACACATTTATGGTGAATTAATTTATAACAAAGGAGGGGCACCTGGGTGGCTCAGTCAGTTAAGTGTCTGACTTCGGCTCAGGCCATGATCTCACAGTTTGTGGGTTCGAGCCCCGCATCAAGCTCTGTGCTGACAGCTAAGAGGCCTGCTTCGGATTCTGTGTCTCCCTCTCTCTCTGCCCCTCCCCCATTCACACTCTGTCTCTCAAAAATAAATAAACATTAAAAAAGTAATAATTATAACAAAGGAGCCAAGAATATATAATGGGGAAAGGACAGTCTTTTCAATAGTTGGTGTTGGGATAACTGGACCACTATCCTACATGTACACAAAAATAAACTCAAAATAGATTAAGGCCTGAAACCATAAAACTACAAAAAGAAAACATAGGCAGTAAACTCCTTGACATCAGTCTTGGTGATGATTTTTTGATCTAACTCCGAAAGCAAAAGCAACAAAGCAAAAATAAAAAGGTGGGGCTACAGCAAACTAAAAAGTTTATGCACAGCAAAGGAAATCAAGAAAATGAAAAAGCAACCTACTGAATGGGAGAGATTATTTGCAAATCATATATCTGATAAGGTTTAGTATCCAAAATATATAAAGAATTCATTAAACTGAACAGCAAATAAATCTAGCAATTGAATTAAAAAATGGCCAGAAGATCTGCATAGGTATTGTCCAAAGAAGACATCTAGATGGGCAACAAGTACATGAAACAATGCTCAAAATCCCTAATTATCAGGAAAATGCACATCACAAGCACAGTGAGATGTTACCTCACCCCTTAGATTGACTATTGTCAAAAAGACAAGAGATAACAAGTGTTGGCAAGGATGTGGAGAAAAGGGTTCCAACAAGGGTTGGCAAGGATGTGGAGAAAAGAAGAGGGTTCTCTTGCACTGTTGGTAAGAATGTAAATTGGTACTGCCACTATGCAAAACAGTGTTGAGTTTCCTCAAAAAATTAAAAGTAGAACTACCATACAATTCAGCAATTCCATTTCTGGGTATTTGTCCAAAGAAAATGAAAACACTAATTTTAAAAGATATATGTATTGCTATATTTATTGCAGCATTATTTACAATAGTCAACATATAAAAACAACCTAAATATATATATCAGCCATAAAAAAAGAATGAGATCTTGCCATTTGCAATAATGCGTGTGGACGTTGAGAGCATTAGGCTAAGTGAAATAAGTCGGACAAATACTGAATGATCTCACTATATGTGAAATCTAAAAATAAAAATGGGTGAAGGGCGTCAAAGGTACAAACATCCTATAAAAGATGATGATGATGATGATGATAATGATGATAATGATGATGGTATATTAAGTTTAAGTGAGGTTTTTTCCAGGAATTCAAGGTTGGTTAAATATTCAAAAATCATATAACCATATTAACAAACTATTAATGATGAAAAATAGGCCGGCAAATGGTAACCTTTCTACTCAAATCAGCTGACCCAAGTAGTCACGGCACAGCTGGACAATGACATATGTCTAAGATGATGGCCTATCTCTACGAAATATATGTGGTGGTGAGACAGGTGATATGTACTTGTTATAATCAGATGTGAAGAGAAGAGCTGGAAGACTACACTAAACTGAAAAAGAAAAGGTTCTTTCTCTCGCCAACTGCCCAGTCAGATAAACCCCCTCAGAGGGGCGCAGAAAGGGAAGTGTTGCTCCAGTGCCAGTTTCAGCCACATATAGAAGCATCAGTGGTAGAGAATAAATACTCTCTCACAATACTTGTAGGATTGTGATTTTTAATATATACATTTTAAACTATTGGCCTCTGCAGTAAGATATGAAAAGGAGGAGGGAGGATAGAAATATGTAGACCTGTATTATATATTTAGAAAAATCTAGAAGTAATAAACATTAAAATAAATAAAAGGTTAATAGCTGGGTGCAGCAGTAATTCTACATTAAAACAATTCCTAAAACCATAAAATGTGTTTTTAAATCACCTTAAAGGCTCGTCAAAAGAACACCAAAATAATAAATGCTTCAGAATAAATTGAAAGATTTGTGTTAACATAAAAAAAATTCGGGAAATAAAAATTCTTTTTTTAAAAAAGTTAATTTATTTTGAGAGACAGGAAGAGAGAGAGCAAGATCAGGGGAGGGGCAGAAAGAGAGGGAGAAAGAGAGAACCCCAGGCAGGTTCCATGCTGTCAGCACAGAGCCCCACGTTGGGCTTAATCTCACGAACTGTGAGATCATGACTTGAGCAGAAACCAAGTCAGGAGCTTAACCGACTGAGCCCCTCGGGTGCCCAGGAAATACAGATTCTTACACAAATGTCAAAGCAAACCATGTGCCTGGTTAGAAAAGTGATTATAAATCTATGGAGTTGTTTGGTTAACATTATTTGTTAAAAACATTGTAAAGTGTAAAGTTATTACCTTCATCCAGGCCCTGATCTCCCTGTAATCCACTCACCACACCACCAGAATGACCTTTTAAAACTGTAATTTAGAACATATCACTTGCTCACTTAAATTTTTCCAGCGGCTTCTCACTGTTCTGAGAATAAGATCCAAAGCCCTTACCACATTCTATTCAGTGCTGCACAACTTACTCCTTGGTTGCCTTCCTAGCTTCGTTGTGTCACCACTCTGCCTCGTTCAGAACACTTGAGATACACCGAGCACAAACCTGCTCTTAGAGCACACTAAGTTTTTGCCTTGAAGCCTCTGCCCTTTCTATTTCCTGTTCTTTTGGGGCTGAGGGGCCTTCTCTGATCATTCAGTCTAAATAGACCTTCACAGGAGTTTCTACCAAGTCATGGGATTTTATAGCAATTGCCACTATTTAAGTTAGCTTGTTTTCCTAAATACTTTTTTTTAATTATTTTTTATTTATTATTATTATTTTTTTTAATGTTTATTTATTTTTGAGACAGAGAGAGACAGAGCATGAATGGGGGATCAGAGGATCAGAGAGAGAGGGAGACACAGAATCCGAAGCAGCTCCAGGCTCTGAGCTGTCAGCACAGAGCCTGACGCGGGGCTCGAACTCACAGACCATGAGATCTTGACCTGAGCTGAAGTCGGAAGCTCAACCGACTGAGCCACCCAGGCGCCCCTCCTAAATACTTCTTAGTTGTCGATCAGCCCTCCTCTCCACTAGCCGGATAACTCCATAAATGCAGATGCCTTGACTATGAATTAACACAAGCAGAACAATTAATTCCTAGCTATTTCAATAAGGCTCACCCCTGTAACTTCAGAGCCTCGGACATTTCTCTGGACCATATTAGGCACCAAATAAATATTTCTTTAAGGAGTGCTGAATGTCACAGAATGAATGTTGAAAAAGCATAGAATAACGTATGTACCAAATCAGTACATTCTTTTCAACTTAAGATTTATGTAATGTTATGTTATGTAAATATGCAAATGACTTATGTAAATAACAGTATTAATTAGTCAAAGATGACTAAATAAAATTAAAATAATTAAAATTATAAGGAGACAATAAAGGATAATATTTTCATAACTTCGGGGTAGAAAACTTGAGTTTTCTTTACATGACTGTCTCCTAGCCACCCAGTTGCCCTCTCTGCAGCCTGTCTTCTTTCCAGGTCTTTGTATCTTCCATGGATATTTTAAATATATGTATGCAAATTTGTGTTCGTATGTGTTTGTGTTTATACATAAATAGAGGGATGACAGCTAGCTAGCTAGATTCTTTTTTCTCTCTCCCTTTTACCAAATCGATAGCCAGGAGTGAATTAGTAAATGTACGATTTAACAACCTCTTAATCACGGAAGTCAGAATGGATTTCCAAAGTCTGTGTCAGCTTTGTCCCATTGCACTAGGGTTCTTAAATCTAAAATTTCATTTTACAATTTAAGAAATAATCTTTCTCTCTTCTTCTCCCCCCCCCCCTCTTTTCAGTATGCGCAAATTTTGAGAGAAAGACTGAGAGAATCATTTCATGATGTTCAGTATGTAGAGCCTCCATTTGATGATTCAATTGCTGATTTAGGTAAAGAATGGAAGAGTGCCCTGGCAAAATTAAAGTTTGCTAATTCATATAGAATGGAGCCATTGAAAAAATTCCAAGCTCATTCCGTGGAAACTAAAGTCCAGCAGATATTAAAGGTAGGTTGATGAGTACATATGATAGCAATATCTAAGCTTCGGAGGTTTGATAAACTGTGTTAAGCTTTATGACCGTATATTTACCCTCACTGACTTTTTGTAGCATTTATCTCTGAAAATATGAAAGTACTTTGTATTCATACTCAAGAATCTTCACATCGATGCTATGAGCTAGATTTAAAGGAAATATTCTTTTGTTATTTCATTCAACTCCTAATTATCCATAAATTATTTATCCCTTACATTCCACGTTTGCCCGTATTTGGAGGAATGAGTTAAATAAAACACACTGTGTATGTGTGGAAAGTTGGTTCCTGTGTACTAACACGTCTAAGGACAGGCAGCCGCCAATGATGCATAGGTTTTCTTCTTTAAACTTGCTGGAATCTAAAGTTCTTTTAAGACAGTTGTTTGAAACTCAGGCACTTGTTCCCAGACTAGTCCAAAATAGCTGCTTCAATGTAACGAACTGAATACTGTATTACTAACATGAAGACCAATGTTATTTATACTAGTATTGGTATCTGAAGGCTGCATTGTTCAGATGAAGATAATTCCTTCATCACTTTTCTTAACCTCCAGTTTACAAGGTACATTCCTTCAGTAACAACTGATGTGAGCTAGCTGTTGGGAAGAAAGCATCTAATTTATTTTGTATAAATATTTAGTACTCCTTTAATCATAGCAAAATTAATTCTTTAAGTGAAGTAACTTTTATTGATACAGAAGAATATTTAGGAGGCCTACTCTAACCTCCCTCCACTACTATAGACAGGTACATTTCTAACCTAAACTAATAACTGTCGGATGATATTTGGCAATGATATTATGGCTCATGGCTTCGGGAAATAGAGAAATTCAACTCAATTTGATACATTAAAATAATTATTGATTACCTTCTTCTCCTATCTAATTAACAGCAAGCATTTGTGACATGAAAGTATACATTATCACGTGTCCCTTGCTTGGCCTTAGTACATAGACTAAGTTCAGACTTACTAATTTCAAATTGTATTTACATAGGATAATTTGCAGAATTGCACTGAGCATGATGGGGCCTAAAACAGCTGATTGGATATGTAGGTGGATGACTAGGGGTCATAAAGAGGCCAGGGATTTTCCCTTGGGTTCATGGAAAATTCAACCTAGTTCTACATGCAGAAATAATAGTGTTTCCTGATGGAGCTTGCAGGCATCTTCCTATAGCAAGCACTCATTACAGCCATTACTTGTTAAATAACAGCATCTGGGGAGGCGAAGCCTGAGGTCTGTTGGGCAGATTCAGAAGAGAGAATGGATGTTGCGAAGCGTTTGAAAGATGGAGCCACAGCCAAATGCCTAAGGGAAATGAATGCTTCTACACCCAGTTTTAGGTCCAGCAGCATTCTAGAAGGGACTCAAAACTCTTTGTTTTTACTTGCCTATACAACTAGCTGGTAGGAGTTCGTCTGTTATGGCGGGACCCAGAACTGTGGTTAATTCATTGGTCTGAATCAGTCGGTCAAAGTCAGTCAAAGACGCCTGCAGTCTGCTCACTAGGTAGTCCAGTCTGCTTCCGGTTTGTAGGAATGCCTCGCGCTTCATGGCTCACATCTGTCTCCCCAGCTGTGATTAATCCACAGCAGACATGGCCAGAAGCTTTCCATCTCCTCAGTGCTCGCCGGGAGTCCACAGAGAAGCCATGGGGAAAGGGTTGGAGAGGTGGCTTCGATTCAGGAAGACTGCGAAGGACAGGATCACAGAGAACAGGCCGTGGAGGATGGAGATCACAGCAAATGGGCCACGGAGGATGGGATCACAGGGTACAGGCTCTGGTCCAGGAAACCCAAGCCTTAGGAAAACTAAAGTCTGAATTTTCACAAACATGTAAATTATAGAAAGATTTCCTTTGTCTACCCTAAGAATTCCCAGAAGCATTCTTTTAAAATTCCCCTGTGTCTCCCTGCTGTCTGATGGGGTGATCCAGTGAAGGAAAACTTACAGCCCGAGGGTTGGTGATGGAGAGCAATTGAATGTAATTAAAAACCAAAGTAAATTTTATTCAACATTGTTATTGAAATAAACTGGTAAGCACAACATTCATTTCATATCATTTGGTTAGGAATGCATGTATTTTTTTTAAAGTTATATGTATTTTTTAGATACATGTTTTCTTGAATTTTTATGTAGAAGATATTTGGTTTGAAGATTAAAATATTTTTTCTATTTTTTTGAAGGAAAGTCTTAAAGATGTCCAATATGATGATAAAGTCTTCTCTCATTTGTCACTTGAATTAGCAGACCGCATATTGTCAGCAGTGAAAGAATTTGGGTACCACCGTTACAAGTTCATTATAAAAGTATTATTTATTCAAAAGACCGGTCAGGCAATAAATGTAAGTACTATAGTGATCCAGCATCTATCAGTTAGAGCTCTAAGGTCTCCTCAGTGGTGATGTGATAATTACCGTGATGCCTGTCTCCAAGGCACTTTAAGACCCCGAGGTGCCTCTCTAAGAAGGATAATTGTGTTAACTATGTCTTCCTTCACTGCATATTATTTGAAAAGTACTAACCCAGAAATGGCAATTTTCTACTGATAATTTACAAAATTGTATGGCTATCCTGTTCCTTGATCATACCCAATTTGACCATTTAATGTCATTTGATAATTAGCCAGTAAGTTTATTTTGAGCACTAATGGGTGTGAGGTACTGAGAAAAAGACAGAGAATGAGACATGGTCCATGATTATGATTCTCCGGGAGTTTTCACTGCACTCAAGGAAAGAAAGCAATGCAGATGGGAGTTTAAGAAATGGAATAGTGTACGGGGCGCCTGGGGGGCTCAGTCGTTTGAGCGTCCGACTTCGGCTCAGGTCATGATCTCTTGGTTCGTGGGTTCAAGCTCCAGGTCGGGCTCTGTGCCGACGGCTCGGAGCCCGGAGCCCGCTTTGGATTCTGTGTCTCCTTCTCTCTCTGCCCCTCCCCCACTTGTGCTCTGTCTCTCTCTGTCTCTCAAAAATAAATAAATGTAAAAAAAATGTTAAAAAATTAAAAAAAGGAAATGAAAGAGTGTGGACGGGGGAGCACATAGGTGCCAGCGTCCAGCTGGCCTAGGTATGAACACTGGCAGCGACAGTCACAGCCCGTGATTGAAGAGCCTGGGCTCTTCATCTATAAAATGGGGGTGATACACCTGCTGGCTGGAGCTGTTACACGAGACGGGCCATGTTACGGTCCTCAACCCGGTCTCCAGCGCAGAGCCCTCGGTAATCAGCAAGGCTGTTGTGCTCAGTTACGAGTGCAAACACACACCTCTAGGCCACCTGAGAGTGAATGTGTGGCAGCTGGGCATATGACGTGCACCGCGGGCTGGGGGGAAGTGTATCCGGAAGCAGGGCAGGGGGCTTCTGGCCACGCAAGAGTCAGCAAGACAGACGTGGTCCTGGCTCCCGCCGAGAAGAGAACGCCACCACGTACTCCTAGATGGTGATAGGTGCTCCCGAGAGAAAATTAAGGTAGGACACTTTGATAGAATGGCAGAGCGGCCGCCGGGGTTGTCTGGAGACGGGGAAGTCCCCCTAAAATCTGAATGACAAGAGAAAACCGGCTGTGCCAGAGACCCGGAAGAAGAACTTGCAAGCGGAGAAAATGTGAGTGTGAAGACGCTAAGGCAGGGGGACCTCCGTGTGCTTGGTTAATAACCTGTGTGCTCGCGGTACGTTTCGGTGGTGGGGTCCGGTGTGACGTGTATCAGCACCACACAACACACCGCCCCCCAGGTTTAGCCTAACACGGCAGCTGTTTGTTTGCTCGTCATTCTGCGGAGCAGCCCCGCTGCCGTACCGGGTTTTCCTGCTGGTCTCCCCGACGCCCTGGCAGCTCCCTGGCGACTCTGCTGGTCTCCCGACACCCTGCCCCCGGTCCCTTTGCTGGGCCGTGGGTACAAGCTCATCCTCGCGTCTGCCGGCCGGCGCTGGCTATTGGTTGGAGCACCTGGGATCTCCTGCACGGGAGCCACCGTCGTCCAGTGGACTGGGCGGGTTTCCTTATGTGGACGTCTCCTCACAGGGCTCTGAGAAGGCTGGAGCAGAAGACCTCTGGAGACTGGGCTGCCAAGTCACCCATCACATTCTTTTGCTCGGGGCAGGTCCCAAGGCGCACTCGTACTCAAGGGGTGGGGAAATAGACTCACCCTCTGGGAGAAGACACAAAAGGTTTGTGGCCGTTTAGAGCCGCCATGGAAAAGCAGGCTGTAGTCAAATTGTGTGTGGCTTTGTAAGCGAAGCAAAGGATTTAGAATTGTCTCCAGCAGCCAGCTGGTGTAAGCAACGCCATTTCTTTATTTCAAAACAAGGTTCTGACAGACTTTCACTGGAAGATCTTGTAAGGATGGAAAGGAACATTCTGTATCACGGGCTATGACACAGCAGAGAAGTAGTGTATGCAGAAGTCTTAGACCCGGTTTTCAGGGGCTCCCGCTCTTGCCCCGGACACTCAGACGCTCGCTGCTGAGGTCGAGTCTCTGTGTCAGATAGGACTGGCTCCAGGAAGAAGAGGGGGCCCAGGAAGCATCACTATGAAGTCTTCAGGAAAGGGGAGATTGGACACACTACTTTTTAAATATCACTTTCTAAGATACTTACGCATCTTAAAAAAATATATCAAACTTGTATAGACTTAAAAATCGTTTCTTAACGTGTTCAGTCTAAGGTTGGTCTTTTGCAATTGGTCTGTCCCAGGTTGCCAGCAGATGGATCTGGGATGTGGCATGGGACAGCTGGGTTGCTGCGAAACATGAAACGGAAACGTACGTGGCCTTGGCCCTGGTGTTTGCTCTTTATTGTGAGTAGGGAGTGTTTACTCCTCAACTTTGCAGAGACACAGGACATCTGTAGATCTGTGAACCTCACAGTAGACGTTGATTCCCTGCACTTTGGCCTCCAGTTGAAGCTTCATTGTATCATTTTAACAGCAAACAAGTAAAAGCTGGATTGTTTTTACCTTTATAATTTACTAGTTATCATATTTATTAATGCTCTGTTACCCCCAAAGTAGGAAAGTATGAGTGAGTGACACATAGAGATAGATAGATATGAATATATAAGTGCTTAGAGTGGATTCTAAGATAGGGAAATTATCATTCTTGTTAGATTTAAGACAATCAGAATTTGCTAGAGGAAATTATGACACAACTTAGTAAAGCGTCAATTAAATGTTAAAATCGATTTTGGAAAACTTCTAAAGGCAGATGTACTTTTGAATGGTATTTTAATATGTTGTGTGCGTTCTTTTGAAAGGAATTACCGAGTTTGAAAGAAAGACACTTTCTATAATGTAATTATATACTTTCTAATAACGTAGTTAGCACATCCCTAGCCAATCAAAATGCTTAAAATGTGTGGGTGTTCTATTTGTTAGTCTGTTAATTAAGCACTTTTTAGATGCGGGAAGTGAAACACCTAACCCAATTGTTTATTTTAAAAAGAGAGAGAGAGAGAGGCACCAGGGTGGCTCAGTTGGTTGAGCACTTGACTCCTAATTTTGGCTCAGGTCATGATCTCAACGGTCCGTGAGTTCGAGCCCCGCGTCAGGCTCTGGGCTGATGGCTCGGAGCCTGGAGCCTGTTTCCGATTCTGTGTCTCCCTCTCTCTCTGCCCCTCCCCTGTTCATGCTCTGTCTCTCTCTGTCCCAAAAATAAATAAACGTTGAAAAAACAAATTTTTTTAAAAAAAAAAAAGAGAGAGAGAGAGGCACCAGGGTGGCTCAGTTGGTTGAGCACTTGACTGTCAATTTTGGCTCAGGTCATGATCTCACAGTCAGGAGACTGAGCCCCATGTCGGGCTCCGCACTGAGCGTGGAGCCTGCTTGGGATTCTCCCTCTCTCCCCCTCTGCCCCTCCTCTGGTTCTCTCTCTCTCTCTGTCTAAAAGATGAAAATTTTCTTTTCCAGGCACTGGACCAGGGATCCAGTTTCTTCTTTCTCCTCTCCCCCTAGACTTTTCTGTACATTTGTTTAACTGGGTATAATTTTTTTTTTAATTTTTTTTAACGTTTATTTATTTTTCAGACAGAGAGAGACACAGCATGAACGGGAGGGTCAGAGAGAGAGGGAAACACAGAATCGGAAGCAGGCTCCAGGCTCTGAGCCATCAGCCCAGAGCTTGACGCGGGGCTCGAACTCGCGAGATCGTGACCTGAGCTGAAGTCGGACGCTTAACCGACTGAGCCACCCAGGCACCTGTTTAACTGGGTATAATTTAATCATGTTCTTATCTATGACCAGATGAGTCAAATTCACTCCTCGGGACGGGGGCTGTATCCGCCTTTGCTGAAGCACCCAGCTACATGAAAAGAGTGGATACAACTATAAATCAGGGCTCGTCCAGCAGGAAGCAGGGGTGGGCTTGGAGCAGGCAACCGATAATGTCTGTGATCATACGAGTTTACGAGTGATAACCAGAACATGAAAAACGGTGTTAAACTTAACGGATGGTGAAAATACCCAGTAGTTAGTTTGAATAATCCAAAGGCTGGAAGATAGAAAGGTAGAGGAGAGTTTTCTTTTCACTTATGATGACCCAGGACTAAGAGTTCCATGCTACGCAGCATAAACATGATAGTTGTCACCCAAAGAATCTTCAGGACAGGAGTTCTGAGTTGTGAACCTTGGACACAGAAGAAGTTAGTAATAAGAAGCCTATGTAACCGCTCATGTTATGCAATGTACCTTCCTGATGAACTTGCAGGATAAATTCATTGTAAAATAAACTGCCTCATCACACTGTTTGTAAAATGAGGATTATAGCTTCCTCCTAAGGTCAGTGTGTGAATTAAGTGAGGTAATAAATAACCAAGAGCCTATGCCCAGCACTTGACAGCTCTGGAGACCATTACCTGCTTTCGCCATCTGGTTTGACATCTCAGAATCACCTGCAGCTTTTCTCATTCTCTTCCCTTCTCCCAACCCCCGTACGTATTCAATCGTTAAATTCCACCGACTCTAATTTTTTGAAGTGACTCAGAGTCAGCGCCGTGGCTCGTCCGGGCCCCCACTTCTCCCGCATCTATCCCAGCGCCCCTTTCTTCCCACGCACTCACTTGTCAGAGGTTCTGTTCCACCACACCCCGCGTCCACCGTGTCCCGGCACCGTGTGAGGTGCGGGGTGTGGAGCAGGGCCCTCACCAGACCCCATGGCACGGGCGGCCTGTGAGAAATGAGTGTGCCTCCGGGAAAGCAGCGGGCGTCCCCCAGGGCGGACCCGGGAGCACACGCTTCGCCTCACGCACGAGACTGGTGATGTCGCCATCTGGATGTCACCCCCTGGGCCAGGTCCCCTCAGTTCCCTGAGGTTTAGTGGAGTCCGGGTGCCTGTAAACCTCTCTGACCCCGGAGTGCTCCTCACTGCTGCCCCCACTTGACCTCCCCTGTCATCAGGCTGCCTCACACGCCCTCCTGTCTCTCGCCCTCCTGTCTTTTCCGTTAGAGCCTCCCTCCCACCACAAAGACCTCTTCCCATCTCTCCTCCCCCAAGCCGGATGGAGGCCTCTAGCCACCTCTGCGTGAGCCGGCAGAAGGGGGCAGTCACCCTGGGGCCGCTGGACCGTCCCGCCACATAGTGAGGACCGTAACTTCTGAACCAGTTTCCCACTGTCCTTAGCGAGCCCTAAGGATGAGTCGCAAGAGATGTGACGCGGACGTTTGCTTCAGCCACGAGAGAGATCTGCACCTCACTGATCTGACTTCCTGCCTCTCCAAGCTTCTCACGGCGGGCTAGCGACCTCCCTTTGCGCCTTCACAGAACATCATCCTCTCCTCCAGATGTATTTTGAGTTCCTTTTGCTTAACAAGGCCTGGCTTGTCCCCACGGAAGAGGCCCTGTGCTGTGGAAGGGAGATATATGCAAAGCAACCTCCAAGACTGAAGGAGCCATCAGACCCAAAGGAAAAGGCCATGCCCGGCTTGACAAGAAGTGGTTTGTGGTTCCGTACAGATGGAAGCCTGTCTCTGGGGGGCAGGGGACAAGGAGATCTCCACGACCCTACCTTCCTTGAGACCTGCTTTTCTAGCCCTGGGGGCTGTGTGGACGTGGGGGACCAGCCAGGGGGAGATGGTTGAGAATCTGTGTGTCTCCTAGTCCCCCCCACCCCCAGCCCCGCCCCAGACCCGAGCAGGCAGGTGGGCCCGAGAGTGTGTCCAAGAGTGTGCCAAAGGGTGTGGTTGAACAGGGGGAAGAGCCTGGTCGGGCAGGGAGGGGGGGCTGCGTTCCAGAAGGCCGCAGGTGGCAAAGCGGTCCTCATGGCTGGTGGGGCTCGTCCAAGATGACGTCAGTCTGACTCACACTCCCCACCCCAGTCCCTCAGCGAAAGCTGCCGGGAGGTACCGCGAGCGGCCCCTCTGACCTTGAACCACTCCAGCTCCTGGCAAAGTGTGCCGTGTGGGTTCACAACTCTTCACGTGTGTGCACCGCTACTGCCCACGGCCCCTGGCTTGCTCCTTCTCGTTAGCTACTTGGAGACGTGAGCCAAGGGACCCCAATCCCCATCTCCACTTGACTCCTGCTGCCCGTTCTTTGTGACTTCGATATCACGCAGATAACTGTCCACTAAGGCAGTCCTCACTGGGGCATGTTCTAGTATGCACAAATTTTAATCGCCACAGTTTAGTTAAACAGCACCGGTCCCCCAATAACGGGGGTCAGATTTCAGTTACCACGCTATGTTGCTATGTTAACTGCGTGACTGCATCGGCTACAAACTTCACAGCCAGTTGTCAGGCCACAGGTCGCTGTGTTAATGACTGACCTGCATCATCAACCTCCCTGCAAAGCCTGTCGGTGACTTGTCACCGCACTTCAGTTATCCAGCGGCTCAGGTCACAACACAGCAACAAAGCAGGTTCTCGCATTGCCTCCTTATCTCCCGGTGACAGACCCACATGATGTTTTACAACAATGAGCTGTCAAAGGAAAACTGTTTTACGTTAAAATTTCATTTTATACAATTTACCAAAAAAGTTGAAAGTGTTAAAGAAATAAGAAATGAGGATGTTGAAAACAAAATTGGATGTGATTAGGAAATTTGAAATTGACAAGAGCAAAGTGAGCTACGATGAAATCTAAGCCCGCACGAGGTCCTTTAGGAACCACAGGGAGAAAGCCTGGTGAGTGAAGAAACATGGTAACGTTGGAACCACATCCTTTAGTTTAAATTGCTTGAGGAACAGAAAGACCTTCTTCTACTCTGGATGGAGGACCAATAACAACAATGATAATGATAATGATAGTAATAAATCCTAATCAGTTTGGCCAGCATTCAGGTCAAGTGTTGATGGTAGTCGCCATGTTGAAAGAAAACTGTGACTACACAGAGAGACTGGTAGACAAGCTCTTACCGCAGTAAAGTCCGGTTTCATCATCTTGGAAGTGCACAAGACTCGATTAGCGCTGAGCTCGCTGGTTAAGCTGCGGGCCCAGGCCAGGGCACTGCTGGGAAGCCTGCACCCAGATTCCACGGGTCAGGTAGGGCAGGTGGTCCAGACAAAGGATGCAAATATCTCAAGGAGGTGACATTGGTAAACGACTTCACATTAAAGACACTTAGAGATACTATACAACATTGAAAATGCAAAACAAAACGTTGGGAGGAGCAGGGAAACTTATCAAGGCTCAGAAAAGGGAAGTGATATTATGAGAAGGCAAGCACCATTCAAACCAGTCTTGGTAAAGTCTTTACACAGAAATTAATGACTAATTCCCAGTGTTTCTCATTTTAAAATACAGGGTACTAAATAAATATTAGTTTTACAATTAATAAAATTCTCTATACGTTTACAGGTGGCAGTAAGGGAGTTT